TGTAAGGGTACAAAACCCAAACTAAAACACAATCATAATGAATACTTTTTAAAATTATAATCTGTTTTGTAAGTGACCTGTTTGAATTCTGTCCTTGCTAAATACAATCATCACTCTGAATCTGAGTGGTAACCATATATATCACTTACAAAACAGATGATAATTTTATATTAACTAAAAAACAGTCATTAAATACAACAAGTCCAACAAGTCATGCAATTAAACACATAACAAATAACCTTTTTTTTTTTTTTTTTTTTTTTTCAAATTTCAAGCAAAACAAGCACACTCTCACAATATTTCTCCTTTTTTCTGTTCAGTTGTCAAAAACAGTAGTTTACACTCGAACAGCATAAAATAATTCTCAAAAAAATATAGAAGACTGGAATTTGAATTTTTTTTTTTTTTTTTTTTAACTCAGATTTTAAAAAATTAGTGATCAAACAAATTTTCAAAATGTTTCATCTTTTCTGAAAGAAATGTCAACCAAGCACACCCAAATTGTTTTGAACTTGGATTCTTTGCTATAATCTCTCTTTGTGTAGTGTACACTTTTTAATTTTAAACGCATTACATATATTTTTTGAACAGGCAAAGCTTGCTTTTCAACACAGTAATCTAACACATTATATATATACGCCACATTTGATTGAAATATATATATATATATATATATATATATATATATATATATAAATTTGTTAGAAATAGATAGAAGCGTTAAGTGCAAAAAATATCTTTAAAGTATGTTTACATATATCACAGTCCTCACGTGCAACAAACATCCCTAAAGTTTCAATTTGATGCAAATAAATAACAAATTTAAACCCTAAGTTAACTAAATTACCCTTACTGAACTATTTTATAAAATATATAAAAATAAATAATTTTATAAAATGACCGCTCAAGTGTTACAAACACCCCTAAAGTTTCAATTTGATGCAAATAAGTCCCTCTAACAAATTTAAACCCTAAGTCGACTAAATTACCATTATTGAACCATTTTATAAAATATATAAAAATAAATAATTTTGTAAAATTATTGAAAATGACAGTATTAGAGGACCCCGACAATGTACAAATAAAGATAAAAATAAAAGTATAAAAGTAAAGAAAATATAAAAATAAAAAATAAAAAATGAAAACAAAGTTCAAACTAAAGAAAGCAAATCTGTTCCAAACTCCGAAAACCAGTGCATATTGATATTGTAATTTTTTTTTTTTGAAAAAAAATAAAATAAAGAAAAAAAATTCAACAGAAAACAATAAACAGGAATTTCAACAAATTCAAAACCTTATTCTACAAATTCTCAAAGTTTTTTTTTTTTTTTTAAAAAAAGAGAAGGTAATGTACACATAACAACCCTATACGATAAGATTAGTAACATATATACTCCCTTAGGCATTTTCGAAAGAGTAAAAAGGTAATATTGATATTATAGCACTAATTTATGTCGGGGGTATTTTTACATAATGTGAAAAAATTAGCTATGATTTGTGCACACTTTTTTAATTAGATAGTAAAAATACTATGCAAATTATATTTTAAAAATATTTTCTGCGCTTGTCCTAAATATAATGGCATTGAAAATTAGTGCAACGCCACTGCAACAACAAAATTACTGATTAGTAATTGTTGAAATATATATATATAGACTGTAGATGGGCCCCTCGGTCACAGAAATTGGTCCGTCTAAAAGTCAATATTATTTACTACGTATATACTGTGTATGAAAAAGTTGTCCAACTTGCATTCTCAATGCACGCAAAGTCACGGTTATAATCACTACAACACCATCCTTCGATTTTTTCATATCATTCGTCGGTGACCAATGAATATTGCACCATTAATAAAAAATAAAAATTGAGTATTAATCGCTAGATATATATTAGCAAAAAAACAGAGAATAATATAGATTAATGTTTTCGTGTATTTGATTTCTGAAAAATAAAATAAATATTTTTGTATGTTTGCATCACATTAGTTGAATCAAAGTATCATGTTTACCTAATAAAATAAAATAAAATAAAGTACTATTATGAACTCACGTTATCTCTTATTTAAGAAATTTCTTACACGTGTAATGGTGTAACACATATATATCATAGTATAACACGATTACATTATAATGCCACACAAATACATCACAAAACATAAATAATTTTAAAAAAAAATTGTACAAAATATTTATATTGAAAATACAATACTCATGTAATATATTAAACCGTATTATAACATTATAACATCTTTAAATCGAAAATTTAAACTCAACAAAAATCAGAGAATGGTGATTCTTAATCATGATTCTTTTATATATATAAGTTGGTAGGAGAGCTTCTGAAATTAAGCGAGGCTTGAATAAAAGGTTGAAAGGTTGGGACAGAAGAGCAAAGAATGCGGAGCATATGGCTCGTAGCACAAGGTGGTCTAAGCTTTGGGATTAAGCTTGGGGTTTGATTTCTATTCCTTGATACTCGCGCACTTGACTTTGATGCTTCTCTTGTTCTGTATACTTGTCTCTTTGAGTTTGTAATATATATATATATATATATTAATGTATGTAACTAAAATATGCATGTCACAGCTTCTTCTTCTTCTATATGTGTGTGTATATATATATATAAGTTGTGGGTTGTTTCTTTTTGTTACTAGGTGTACGTTGTAGGTGTCTTACAACTTCCTTTTAGGGGTTGTTACGATGTGATGCTTACCGACTACTTCTTGTTATATGCATTTGTCCAAGGATATATATATATATATTGAGGATGATACCCTATTGCTTTCACACTTCTTATACTCGATCATCACATGCAAGAAGACAATTGCACCATCGAATATACTCTCTCTCAATTATTGTTTGAAAATATGCAAAAAGAAAAATACACCATCATCACTATATCAACTATTGATAAATTAAAAATATGGGTCACATTATTGGATGACATGTTAATGTTATTGTTGGACATCACTCACTTCTATTGGAATGCCATACACTTTAGTTTTTTTAAAAAAATGTAGGAATGTACAATTTGAAAAAACAATAATTAATAATTAATAATCCGTCAACAAACACATGCAGTCAAAGTTTGACTTCTTCATCCATTTTCCTTGTAAACAATGTGGACTAATGGTGTTGTATTCTCATTGCTCACGATAAATAGTATTAAGGTAAAAAACAAACAAATAAATAAATAAAAAGAAAGAAGAAAGATTTGGTAATCATTGAATTAGAGAGAGTTTATTACTACAAAAAAGCCCAAGTAACTAAGTAAACACACTCGTTTGTACATTTCCACTAACAAAATCTAATTGATGCTTAGCATTAATTATTGAAGGTAGACCTTAATTTGTATAATCTAATTAAATATTATGACTTTGCTTGAGGCTTGCAAGTTGTAAATGGGTTGGCGAAAAACTATCATATAACACCAACATTATTACTATTATATATGAAAGAGGTGAATATATATATATATATATATAATCTAATTGATGGTTACCATTAATTATTGAAGGTAGACCTTAATTTGTATAATCTAATTAATTATTATGACTTTGCTTGAGGCTTGCAAGTTGTAAATGGGTTGGCGAAAAACTATCATATAACACCAACATTATTACTATTATATATGAAAGAGGTGAATATATATACATATAGATATATATATAGGTGTATCTGATTTTTTGTAGAAAGGTGACATGCACGTGAGCTTTTCCTATTCCGTGGCAGAATGAGATTACAAAGCCAAATCAGCAGCATGTGAGTCTCAGAATTTGGTTTATGTAAAGTCAGTCATTCATTTTTTAAAAGTTTTTTTTGTGGTTTTGTGTGGTGGTATTGGATGAAAGTGTGAACATTTTTCTGAGCGAAGTCAGAGTGAGTTGCGGTTGTTTGTGAATTGTGATGGATGAAAGTGACAACATTTTTCTGGGTGAAATCACAGTGATTTTATTGTTGGTTGTGCCATAAATACAAAAAATCAATTGCCCATGGTACAACTCCATGTACTGGTTTTTCTTTATGACCTACCAATCTCATGCCACATTGGACTTATGGGGTTATCATAATGTAACAATCCAATGACACATTACACACACTTTATGAATTATCACACAACATGCCATGTGGTTGAACACATAAAGTATACCTAAAAAATTCGTCCAGGAGTGTGAAACGTGATTATAGAAACTTCCGAATGAGAGGTGATACCGATGTCATTAATACTTCATATCATGATAATATGAATATAGAAATCAAAATGATTTGGAGTTCAAAACTCCGAATAAGAATTGACATTGATATCATTAATACTTTATATCATAATAACATTAGTTCTTACTTGTATACCATTAATCAGATTTGTAAATTTGTCTAACCACAAGTCATGTTGCTTTCTATGCTACTCATATTATAGTTATATCTTCAAATAGAATAATATTTATTCATTTGAAAGAAATGAAGAAAAAAAAAAAAAAATCATAATATCGAAATTTAGTACAAATTATCGGAACCTTGAGTTGGAGGAGGTCCTTCCCTAACCCATCACAAGGGTGGACAGATTTTTCAAACCCATCCTATGTTTTTCTTTTTTTCATTAGGTTTGTATCCCTTCTTATTGCAAAATCATTTGAACATTAAATAGAAACCATATATAATTCTGTTTCGTAGACATAGAAAACCAATTAATTTCAAAGTTACAACTTACAATTTATAAACTCACCACCACCTTCTATGCTTCCTAACTTTCATTCCAAATCAAAATTAACATTTTACCATCAAATTTATAGGTATGCTTCGGATGACTTCATTATTGATAACGCAACACAAAAACATAAAGACATAGTCTTATAGATAAATATGAAAATAAAACAATTTGATTCTCACAGTTTTCATGGGTGTTCCAATTGTTTAATGCAGCTGCATTAATTTCCAATCTCCACTTAGACAACAAATGTTTGGAGTTTTGAAGTAATTAAAACAAGACGATGCCAAGAAAACTGAACCAAAACAGAAATGCAACCAAATGAAAAAGACAACGCTACAAAATTTGTGCTTCAACAACATGCGAGAAAGATTGAGGGTTCACCAAATGGAGCATAACCCGGTATAGTAAAATGTTAGCACTCTAACCAGAAGCATAGATAACAAAAGAAAGAAGGAAACAGTCATAAATGGTGATGAATGATTTCAAAGGATGCGCAACTTATTTTTCATCTTCTTGGAAACAACACATGAAATTGAATATAAGCACCTAAGCTTGAACTCCTAGTTCCAACAGTAAGGTGTGACTCAGAGAATCAGATACCGGGCCAATAAATTGAATCGGGCCTGTAGCAGAACGATAAACAAACTGTAAGGTAATTGGATGAACAATATCTATAACAACTGAAATCTCAGATTTGACTAAAGTGTTAAATGTTAAAATTCAGCCTTCAACTTGTCCTAGTTGCAAGCAAATCAATTTGCCACGGGAGAGGCAAGCTGAAACATATTAGGTCTGTTCGCTGTTTTTATTGGAACTTTGTTGAGTTGTTTTGAAAATAAGAGGAATTCTAAAGATGATTAATTTGTAGGTATGAGAGGTGATGAAGCAAAAGTCATAGCATACCAGGACTGATATATCGATTCTTAAGAGCCCATTCTTCCCGCAAGGATGCAAATTTCTTGAATGGTGCACCTGAAACATTCATCAAGTTAATTATATTTTTTGTTGGTTTGAGATTCATGATAACTGCAATTAATTATTAATGCATTAAGGGGGTTTACACCGTAGATTTTATTGGAGCCACCAGCACGATAATACAACAGATTAATCAGTTCCACTTAACATAAAAGAACTAACATGAGAAAAATGGGATTGCATCACGGTTACAAAAAGATGAGACAACAGAAGATGCGTGCATATAAAGAATTTTTACCTTCAAGCTCTACCATTGCCTTCTTTATAACAGGCTTAAATTTACCTGGAAAACAAAATTGATTTTTCAGAAAGGAGTTAGATTTATTGACTGCAAAAAGTGACATGAAAGAGTCAAATAATAGAAAAATCCAACGGATGTTAAAACTCATAACATTCTCCCAAAGATGAAATTTCAGTTAACCATTTAAAGCTTATATATTCCACTCTTTCAAATCCTGACATACTAATACTAATAAAATATGACACAACTACTTATTTATCTATTAAATACAGTTACAACATCATTAACAAAAGAATGATGTTTCGAGTGAAAGTATTATTTATTAAAAGGGCGCATCGCTTGGTGCAATGGCAAAAAAAGCTACGGTAGGTAAACACGCAAATGCAGGTATGAGTATGAGCAGCCACCTAAAATAAGGAGGGCCAAGCTAAGTCTACTAAGTCCACATCTACCATGCCAAATTAACAGGATGCCGTGAAGTATTGGTATTTTATAGTAATTTTTTAAAAATGTGGACAGACACATTCTTACCAATATGCTTTACTCTGATAAGCCCCCCCAACCAAAGAAAAAAGGAAAATGAGAAGGGAAGAGAATTTTCCCCAATAAAGGCATCTCTATAGTAAGACGAGAACATGATGTTTTAGAGCTTAATATACCATGTCTTCTCTCCACATCCATTAATGAAGTCAATGCAGTTCCACCTACAGTCCATTCTTCAACTGGAGCAGCCAAATTCCCTACCTGGAAACATATTCAAAACTTATCAGATGAAGTATGATGCAGTTGTAGAATTATGAGAATCTTCAGTGTCATAGAATGAACTTTAAATTCAAAGCACAAAAAATAACCAACAAAAAGCTAAAAGGCCTCTTTGTACAGAATAGAAACAAAATGAAGAAGGTAAATAAAGGATAGAAGCAGAGACCGAAGATATCAACCCCGTTTTTCCACTATTAAGGAGAGCTCCAGCAGCATAACCCAATGCATAACAGTACGTGGAGTCAAAGTTAGATGGCAAACCACACCGCCCTTCATACCTGCAAAGTAAAAAATTACATAGCAGAACACCGGAATTTCTGTAAAAGGAAAATTAAAAATTCTGATCTTCATCGTACACGAGTAGCTTGAGTTCTTCAAAATTAATTTTCAGAGCATTAATCAAGGAAACAAAAAAGAAAGCAAATCATCAAGTCATCACTTAATCTTGAATCATTTGAATCATAAAGGTGATAGCCGATATAGGCAAAGATGACAAGTACCCGAAAAAATGGGACTGCCCTTTGAAATGGCCTTTATATGAATCCTTCTGCTTCCTCTTCTCCAACTCTGTTTCAACCATTTGAATAAGCATTTTCTCTGTTTCTATTTTCGCAACCTGGAGGTAGAAAACACATAACATAACCAAGATGTTTAAGAAAACAGAAAAGTAAACCCAAATACCAAAAAAACAGTTTGACATAAACACCTGCACATTTCCATGTGGATCTCTCTCAAGCATTAACTGTTCCTGAATAGCTGGAGGTAATAATTCAAAAAGCTGCAGAGATTGATCTTTAAGTTTCTTTTTCCAAAGACCGCCTTCATCTACATTATCATGTGCCAAAATTTCATTTAGTTCTGAAATAAGCTGCTGCACCTGCAAAAGACACAGTAAATTACAAAAAGGAATATGTTAATCAATGTAGTAATCAAACATGGGCACCATAGCAGCACCTGCAGTTCCTGAGAAGAATACTGGACCATTGAAGAGGTGGATTAGGAAACAGATAAATAAGTAATTTTATGATCCAGAACTTTACCTCAGGAATGAAATCAATAAGGCCTTCAGGTATGAGTATTACGCCATAGTTAAAACCATGTTCTGCTCGTTTACAAATCACATCAGCAATGTAGTCCGTAACATTTTTCAAAGTCAGCTTCTTGTCAGCAACCTGCAGCAAGATAAGTATTTATATGGAAGCTTCTACAGGATTCGTCAAACAATTGTTGTTCATATTTCAAACCAAAATATGTTCAGAAAAGTTCTACAGTACCAATTACATATAGCTGATTAATCATTGCAATCTTTAAATCTCCACAAAGTTTGCAATTCAATATGTAACTACATCCTATCACACAATCTGGTCAAAACTGAATTTCACAAACAAATTTTAGGCATGATGAGATCTTGATCACACTATGCCTAACCATTTCTCCCAATTCAACAACCTGATACCAACTTTCAAGAGCAGTACATAAGATCTCTCTATTACTAACCTTTACATACAATATAGCTGTCATGTAGGCCTACTGGAAGATAGTAAGAACTCTTCCACTACGATTTCCACAAAATACATTCAGGGCTTCCAAATTGACTTCTCTTTCGAAATTTTCAATTGTTGACAACCCATCTTACATTTAAACCAAAAATTCATTACCATCTTGGAAAAGCTGCAGCTCTGTGATTAATAAGGAAACTCATGCTAGCCAAACTTGGTGGAGCTTTTATTGGCATGCAAATTAGAAAATGCCACTCAAGGGCTTTCATTGCAGAAACAGGTCAGTGGGGCTTATTCGAAACTTGATATTGTATAACCTTGTTTTCGTGACATTTAATCAAACTCTTGGGGGACCTGTAGCTCGTTATTTATAGAAAATTAAGGAGTTTTCTTTAAGTAGGTTTGCCTAAAAACCAACTCCAAACAGCATAATTCACTCTGTTCACAGTGACAAGAAGACACATAATTGCTAGTAGCAGCATTTAAGAAGTGTAAATCACCGGAAAAATGCTTAATTTCTTAAAAAATGTACTGCAGTATGCCAATCAAGTAAATAAAGTGAAGCAATAAATGATCGAGGTACCTCTTCTCCAATAAGAGTAATGTTGGGATGAGTTTGTAAAGCACACTCTAATGTAATGTGTGAAGCAGCACGTCCCATAAGCCGTACAACTGCAAACAGTTACACTTTTAAACATCACACACGCTTAGAATTATATGCACAAAGCAGGATGGAAGGAGCAAAAAATATGGTTGAAAAGAAAGCGAACAACTGGAATAGGAAATTAAAAGTTTGTTGACTACTACACAAAATTATGCATAGCTTAGCAAAAAATATTACAATGTCAAAGGGAAATGCCTAAAAGCTAATATTAGATATTAGGGTAAATTACCCTCACCTCCCCTGCGGTTTGGGGTAATTACCCATATATTAAAGTTTTGACAAAACCACTCTGACCTCCCTGTCAGAGTTAGAAAAGTTAATAGCTCAAACTATCATATGTATTTTCACAATGCTACCCTATTGTTATTATATTTATTTTAAACTTAAATCTGATGTAAGCCAGATACAATAAATTCTCACAATACCCCACTACAATTTGAGAAGTTCTAGTATGTGATGAAGGTTGCCGATGGTAACAATACCCTATTGTTATTATATTTATTTTAAACTATCAATCCGATGGTAACAATGAGCTATTGAAGCATCCTCCGGATTTGTAACAATGAACTTCAATTACCATCGTAGCCTCCCCTACTCCCATTGCGTCTCTCTCTCTCTCGGTTGTGCCGCCTCCACCACCCTTCTCTCTCCCTCTTTCTCCTTTCCACTCACCTCTTCTGGCCAATCCTAAACCCCAAGTTCCTAACTCATCTCCATTTATAGAGGAACAAGACCCAAGTTATATACATATATGATACAATTAGTATACATATACACTACCACAGACCCAAACACAACTCAATAATTTACAGAGGAACAAGCCTAAATTATATGCATATGGTATACAATATATATATATATACATCGATCATTGGCTTTCTCATTAAAAAAAAAAAAAAAAAATTGAAACAATGAAAAAGAAAATGTTTGAATTGTCAAGAATCAACCAAGAGTGCCAGCCTGAATTCCTCTTTCGCCAATGATGAATCTTTGTTTTTTTAAAACTCGAGCAGTGGTGTTGTTATAGAGAGAGAGAGGGTGGAGCGGCGGTGATAGTCCAGTGGTTCGGCAATGGGCATTGTTGGGTTTTGACTGATTTGCAACTACTTGTATATATATAGATAGAGAGATATATCTATTTAAAGAAAAAGAAAAAAGAGGACAAATGTGTATAGAGAGAGAGATGTGGTGTATAAAAGAGGTGGGTGGTTATGGAAATGAGAGGAAGATGACGGAAAAGGGGGTAATTTCATCACTTTTAGTAGGGTTGATTTGTCATTTTTGCAAGGGGTAATTTAGGAACTCAGTAATAAAAGAAAATATTCAAATGATTCTGTATCCTTGCAAAAGAAAAGACAAAGAACTGGATGGTAGGGGATTCAGAGAAGAATCTGATAATTCTTTCTCTATCACTGGTTCATCTTGAGATTAAATATTCCTAAAATATAAATTTCCAGGGAGTAGACAGAAAATCATGCAAAGGTAATGGTTCAGTTGATTTTATTCCAGGTTCCTTGTACTTACAATGATAATATTTTCCAGTTGACCGAGCATCTATCATGACATTTCCTATCATTTCTGCATATATCTGCATTATCATAACAAATAGAAATTGATTCTTGTGAATTGTAAGTATCAGCGGAAAAAATAATAATAATAAAAAAAACCTGACCTTATTCAAAACCAGACAAACAAAAAGTATAAAATTGTAATGTTATTGTTAATTGACCAAAATCCACAAAGCCTTTAAAACAGAAATCAGAAGGATATAATCATGGTAACTAAAAATCAGCTCATTCTTGTAAACTGTCAGCCTTAAAAGTACAGAAATTCAAAGGAACCATTAACCAGGCTGTAAGAAAAATCCTTAGAAAATTCTGAAATTTTGGTTGCAACCAAAACTCTTCCACTGGTAAGCATGATATAATCCTTAAATAGGATAAAAAAAACTTTTAAACACTCAGAGAAAATTGAGGATATACTTTGGTCACAGTCTCCAAGAAGATGCAACAGATTCAAGTGCCTCAAACTGGTCACTTGTATGAATCAAAATAAAGAAACTATTTCAGCACATTGTTACTTGTTTATATAATTAATGATGTATAATAGTAATATAATATCTGAACAAGTAATGCATATACAATGTTGAATGGCAGGGTTAGAATCACCTTGCACGCAGTATCAAATCCAAAACTAGTGGGAACTTCTTTGCATTTCAAGTCCCCATCAATGGTCTTAGGGCATCCAATCACCTTAGTTTTCAATTTTTTACTCCTGAATACAATGCAACCAGTAATGTCAGACCAGTAGGAGTGAATAACAACTACAGAAAGTACAAATCAATAAGCCGGTTTTCAAAAATTCAGAGAACACAAAAGTAAAATTTAGAACAGGAAACAAATACGACCAACCAGAGTTTTGATATAGAAAATGAATAATTGACCTAAAGTTTTCGGCAAGGAGGCAAGCATTTGTATTCGAGTCGTCCCCACCAATTACAACAAGCCCATCCAAATCAAGTTTTAATGCCGTTTCTTCAGCTTGCTTAAACTGAAATCGTGTACATGTGAACTTGGTCAGACTCAACTTTGAAAGGTTAATTTACAAGAATCAAAGAGTAAAATATATTTATTTTTGTCCTAATTTAAAACAAGCACTAAGCGCAATATCTTGTGAAGCCAAAAGAAATATCACCTGTTCTGGGGTTTCAATTTTGTCTCTTCCACTACGGATCATATCAAAGCCACCCTGGTAGAAAGAAATACAAATAGATCAGACATGACTCCTCTAATTTATTTGAGCTGGGTTTATGTCCCTGCCAATCCATTTCCCTTTATTTTCAAACAAAATGTATTAGGATATTGAATTTGAACCAAAACTACTCAGGACTGAAGTCTGTCCAGCATGTCAAACGATAATATACACAAACAGAGATGATGGATATACTAATAACTCAGACAAGAGAGAAAATATTCAAGCCGACTAGTTCTAATTTAATTATAAAAAAAAAAAAACAACAAATTATGCTTTAAAAAAAGGTCCTAACCTGATTTCTATATGGGTAAATAAACTGCGAGTTCAGTTCCACATATTTGCATTTCATGATCCCAGCAGGTCCACCCCTGAATCCATATAGTGTGCTTCCTTTGCAACGATCCTGCAAGTAATCTACCAGACACCAAAAAGATATTAAAATCACTAACAATCCAAATTAAATTAGATCCAAACGGATAACTGATACAGCGTATTAAGATCCTCACCGAAGATCCCAGAGATTACATTGTGTCCTCCAGGAGCTTGGCCTCCTGACAAAACCACTCCAATCTTCAAGTTTTTACCAGACAAGCACTCGGCTGAGTTGCCCGGTACCAACATTGCAGATGGCTGCCCGAAAAGGCACGGAAACAGCTTCGCGATCTCATCTGCACTCCACATCACAATCACAATCAAGCCATGGCACATAATTTATTAATCCTAAACCTTCGTTTGGTAGTTGAGAAAACGAAGCAAAGAAAGCATTTCTTCTTTTTTTAAATCTAGTACAGAAACGCAATGAAAGTGCTAAACCAGATTAAAAGTGGAAATCGAACAATGCTTTCGTGAATCAATCTATATCCATACATATATTTATATATATATATGTGCGTGTGTTGACATGTATGTAAATATTACAAGACCTGGATTGCCGGCGGCGGAGCTAGGAGGGCCATCAATAACCTTGAAGGCGCTTTTGAGGACAGAAGGGAGAGGTAGAGAGTGGTCGAGACGACTGTTCTGCACTTCGCTGTACACCGACGCCACCCGGCCGGGCACCGGCAAGTTTCCAGTGGCGATATCGCCGTTAGGCACCGACGAAGAACCCATGATTTCGGAGAGAGAGAGAAGCCAAACGTTAGATTTTGCAGAGAGTTTCTGTTGGCCTTCGTTTTCGAGGTTTTGTCTTACCCACTCCTCTCTCTCTCTCTCGCCCGCACTCTTTTTAACTGATGACTTGAAGGTAAGGGCCAAAACGTCTTTGGAGACTCCGCCAAGCCAACAGGTAGTTGAAAAATAGGGAAGGGTATTTTGGGAATCCAAGTAGATATGATATGGTATACAGGCATCTATGTGCATGTGTTTAGTTGATATAATTCAATATCGAATTAGATTTGATAAAAGTCGTCGATCTAGTATGACGGTGGGTCCCAAAAAGATTGAGGTGATGATTAGGGTGATGCAAAGCATAATATGATGGTACCAGAAGCATCAAATCACTCATGTTTTGTACTTACCTAACTTGGCCTTTTTTTCTAGGTAAAAAAAGAAAAGAAAAGAAAGAATAAAAATAAAAATAAAATTGACCCTTTTCTACGGTTGGTGGTAGGTGCGTGTTTGGAATGTGGGAAGTATATCCTCCTCCTCATTTGATTATCTGGTAGGAGTTTGGTGATACTTGTCTATTAAGTGGGCCTGCTCTTATCTTTATTGCTAAAAGCCCACTGATATTCCCTTATGCTACATTCATGTTTATCGAGTTGGACCCAATCTCTAATATGGGTCAGGGAAATTGTTAGCCTTTTGTAGTTGATGGTGGTATGAAACTGGATCACAATGCTCCCTCAAAGGGGCAGGAAATGCTTTTGCGTGTGAGAGGGTGAGCTTAGGAACATCAGAATCAGAATGGGATAATATGAAAATTGTGCTTCACACTTTTGATTGTCCAAGGGTAAGACTACTTATGTGAACTTATGCTCACCAAGACTATGAAGAGATAATAACTGTGTTTCACCAGGCAAAACATGATGTTTTAAGAGATGATGTCTAATTTCTACGTGCTTAGTTCTAAAGTGGTAATAGACCACTCCACTGTCTTCAATTCTGAATGATGGTCTGAAATCGTATAATTGTGAAAAATGAGTGAGGGTTCATCAAAATTGTTGTTGTATGAATACTCAATAATGCGCCTCTCCCATTCACAACGGCGACAAATGCAATACTTTCTAAATGAAAAGTTTCTCTGACCCGCCCCTTCCCTATATATGCTTTATTTTTTTGTTATGTTTTTTTACCGGCAACATATGCAATAATTCCTAAATAAAAAGTTTCTCTAATAAACAGGGTGGATCCAATGCATCATTTTTTTGTTATTTTTTTACCATATGATAACGACAACACATGTAATAATTTCTAAATAAATTTTTTTTTCTTATAAAAGCCAATGCATGCCCCTAGCCCCGCCCTCCCTTATATATACATCATTTTTTTGTTATTTTTTTACCATATGATAACGACAACACATGTAATAATTTCTAAATAAATTTTTTTTTCTTATAAAAGCCAATGCATGCCCGGGGCACATGCCCCTGGTCCCGCCCTTCCCTTATATGTGCATTATTTTTTATTTTTTATTTTTGTTATTTTTTAACCATATGTAAGAAAAAAAATTTATAGTATGCTCACTTTCTTATATACATTTATTGTTGTAATTTTACAAACTCAATGTGATTTATCATGTTATTTAAATTTTTTTTTTTTTTTTTTCCCTCAAGTACATTCCTAGCTCCGCCCCTGCTTATAAATATAACATTGACAAATGTTGAAGGACTTTTACTGCTATGCTGTATTTAACTTTGCCTCTTAATATATTTCGTCTCTCAAGCATTTATGCGAGCTATTGTAAACCGATTCTACCTGTTAAACAGCTAGGTGCAATGCCACAACAATTATTCAACCGTGAACATAACTGAATCAATAGCTGTAGATTGTAGTGTTTGGAGCAGCACATTTCTCGTATTGACATAAATTGAAAGAGATGACTACTTTGGCCTGATAGCACTGCTATCCTCTACAAGAAAGAATGCCCCTCAATGACACATTATGTAGACAAGCATTGCTTATTTGACAAACTATAATCTGCCTCTCACCAAGTCTTTCGTGTTCCTAAAGGCCACCATGCATGCCTGGGGCCATGGATTTCATGCGATTCACGAAAGGGGGAGAAAAAGAAAATAACATTTTGTCAACCAACGAGGCATATGCTTGCAGGTACAATGCAATCAACATTTGTAGAACCGATACCATGCACACAACACTGAAATGTTCAATTAGGTGAACTTGTCTCACCACCATTGCAGCGTAACGAAGGAGGATTGATTTCTATCGGCTGAGAAAAGAAATTTATTTACTTAGTACAAGCCAGCCACAGTGTCCTATGATATTAATACAGATGCCTACATCAATCTGAATTCATAAAAGTTGATACATGCTTAATATGAGAAAGACAAAGTCAATACATACATAATTACAACCACTTATCAACAGTATTATTACATAGAGTCCCACATGCACTCGGAAAAAGCACGTTACTGAATTTAAGGTTTCAAGAGGGGGCTGCCTTCCTTAATAAGCACAAATACACTGCCTCCATCTCCCCTTGAGATCCTAACTTCTTCATCCAGGTATGTGGTTAGCAACCATGATTCTGCATTGCGATTGGAGAGAGAGAACTTTAGTGGTGGTTGGCTGGATATGGTCTTTGCAACAGATGAAGCTGTATCTTGGACCGAAGTGATTAAGCCTTTGAAGGGTGAGAGATCAATCTTTTGTCCAAGAAATTCCACATTTTCTGGCAACACAATGGATTCTATCAACTGGGGAGTCCCAATAATGCCTTCTTCAAACTTGATCTGAATCAACCGAAAAACTAAGTGAGAAAAATATAACATTTAACTCATTTCAATAATATCTACAATGGAGAGTGAACGATCAAACAGAAATATGAACATAAAGGGGTCCCAGGAACCATATGAAATGAAGTCATAATTGTGTTTTTTCTTTCTTTAGTCCTGATTTGCCCACAGAATTTTAACATTTAAGTTCATAGTTTACGAATGGAGTTCTGATAAAGCTACAGAAAGTAAAATAGACCGGTTTCCTGTGCTAAATTAAGTATGCAGTAATTTCATTCAATAATTTCCTGGTGCCCAAAAAGTCATTCCTATTCTTCCCTGTTTCTCCTCCTGGCCCCTAAATATGCTCATTTCTGACACACTACTTCTACATGTGGGTCTCTCTCTCTCTCACACACACACACACAACTCTTCAGCTCAGAAGTGGATGATAGTTTAAATACGAACTAAGAATGTTTCAGATTTGGACATGTATTCAAGAAGTGAACCACTAGTCAGATTCAAGCAAAAACACAGGGTCAAAACAAACCTGCACACGCTTGGGACTTCGGACTTCAAACTTGGCATTGGTACTAATTGAAGTTGTAGAATATGGCCCAGCAAACAGGACAGAATTCTGGACTGTGAAATTCTCTGAGTCAATGATCTGTGAAATCTCCTCCACCTTCACTAAAGGCAGTGTTCCCCTTGACAACAAAGGGAACAATTCCACAAATGATGTGTACCTGCAATGCCACACATAAACGTTAGGTTAGTCCAAATAGTTATCACCTGTCGGTGTTGACGTTTGTGTCCAAAAAACCCCAGCCTATTCTAAAGAACAAATCTTGATTAATGCAGGGGGAAAAATAATAATAATAACATCCAGAATCATAGTAGCTCCATAATAGAGCAGGCATCGCAAGGAAGTACTCTCCAAAAGTTCTAACAACACAAAAGACAAAGATAAACAGAACAGGACCAAAATGGAAATAGCTGGAGAAACAAAGTCAAAGCAATAGACACATTATTGTGGATATCAACTTATCTATAGTGTTAGTCAAAGGATTAGACTGAGTAAATGATCCTTTTAGTCACATCTATGATCTCAAATATTACTTTTTTTCGATAGCAATGATTTCAACTATTTATCTTGTACATTCCAAAGCATTTTTAACAGTTGATGATGAAGGCTAAAAAATGGCATGTGCTAGAACACCCAAGTGCTTTTTATTCAAAATGGAGACCCTTGCTTTTATTACTCATGGTAACTGTTATCCAAATCTTGGAAGTTTCTTACAAACTCTTATATGGAAACACTTAATATAACTCGAGCACACATAACCTTTTCAAATAACAATGACGCAAGATTTAACAGTATAGCAATTATATTAAAGAAGCCATAGTATACAGTTTGGTTGAACATTTAATTTTACAAGATATTTAAATATAATAGAGAGGAACTCCTAACCAAAGTATGGTTCCAAAATACCAGCCTACCAGACAATGTAATGATGTTGTATTCCATTTGCAGTATTTCATAATACACATAGTTTGGTGATTTCAGTGTGACCCTGTCTTCTATGAACAAGAACATATAACAATGCTTTTCAATTTTCAATATCAACTTATTGTCACGTATACATCAATAACATGTGCCATCTGCCTATTATCACAAGATTTGTTAAAAGCATACCAATGGATGGTTTTACATAGATTGTACTGCAGTAGACATGGGACTGCATCGGTGCTATGTTTGCAGATCATGGCATAAGTAATGCTAAAATAAGTTCCAAGATAGAACCTGTTGACTTTTGTGGCTCAATTATGATGTCAGCCATTACATCATCAATTTGCATCACCCATTACTTCATTATTCTTGGCAGCCAAGGAGTGTATTATGCAAGCTTCCCCATGCGTGGTCTCCAAGTTCACAAATAGTGTGATGACATTTTGGCTATAAATAGCCTTGCTCCCATGGTGTTTTAAGCATCCAAAACAAAATTTGAGAGTGTTTGCTAAATATGAGTTTCTCAGAGGTGTAAGAGAGTGGGGGCTCTCATTCAGGATGTCGGGAGGGCTACTCCTCTTTGTATGTGGTGGTGCATTTAACTGGTATCAGAGCTCAACTGTTATTTATCGTGACAGTAATAACATTCTACATTTTTATGAGATCTAGATTTGCTCCTACTACCAGAACTCTTTGTCTCACTTTTGCCTCTTACAAATAGACCCTCAGCCTGTTTATCTCCATTATTTCCAGACACCTTTTTTCTCAACTCTTGAGAGTTAAGTGAGGATTTAACATCCTCCATACTAATGGTGTCTTTTCCATAGAGTAATGTAGTAACAAAATGCTCATAGGAAGGAGGCAAAGAACACAACAAAATAAGGGCTTGATCTTTTTCATCAATTTTAATATTTGAGAATACCAACCAAGTACAAGCAATGCTTGAACTTGAGAGCCGGAATGGAATTTGTCATCATATCTGCCGGATTTTCAATTGTGCCAATTTTCTTCAAAGTAGTAATACCTTCTGATATGACATCCCGAACAAAATGATATCTGACATCAATGTGTTTGGTTCTCTCATGATACATTTGATTTTTGGTCAAATATATCGCACTCTGACTGTCACAATAAATAACAGTTGAGCTCTGATACCAGTTTTTTCGGAATGAGAAAAATAAATGGCATACACACAAACGAGACAAGGATATACGTGATCCGGCTATGCCTACGTCCATGGGGAGAAGACAGAACAATATTTCACTATGGAAATAAAGAGATACAGTGCTAAGTGGCTCACACCCAAAACCCAATTACACCCCAAACTCTCTACACCTCTGAGAAACTGATATTTAGCAAACACTCTCAAATTTTGTTTTGGATGCTTAAAACACCATAGGAGCAAGGCTATTTATAGCCAAAATGTCATCCCACTATTTGTGAACTTAGAGACCACGCATGGGGAAGCTTGCAGAATACACTCCTTGGCTGCCAAGAATAATGAAGTAATGGGTGATGCAAATTGATGATGTAATGGCTGACATCAGAATTAAGCCACAAAAGTTAACAAATCTCCACCTTGGCGAAAATTCAAATGAGCCACTGTATCTCTGCAAAATAAACTGTCTTCTCCACTAAGCCCCTAAGGGCAATTTCAACATTTGAGAATACCAACCAAGTCCAATCAATGCTGAACTTGAGAGCCGGAACGGACTTTGTCATCATATCCACCGGATTTTCAACTGTGCCAATTTTCTTCAAAGTAGTAATTCCTTCTGATATGACATCCCGAATAAAATGATATCTGACATCAATGTGTTTGGTTCTCTCACGATGCATTTGATTTTTGGTCAAATATATCGCACTCTGACTGTCACAATAAATAACAGTTGAGCTCTACTGCAAACCCAAAACATTGCTAACTACACTGACCGCATATGAAATATCAGGGCGAGTGCAAACTATTGCATACATCAAGCTACCAACTGCACTAACATAAGGAACACGTGACATGTGCTCCTTCTCCTCTTCGGACTGTGGTGATAAAGCTGTAGAAAGACAAAAATGAGCAGCAAGTGGTGTACTCACAGGCTTAGAATTCTGCATATTGAACTGCTCAAGCACTATATCAATATAACTCTTCTGTAACAAACTCAACCTGCCAGCTTGGTGATCCCTCTGAATTTCCAAAATCTTCTTTGCTGCACCGAGATCTTTCATCTCAAATTCAATATTCAATTGAGATTTTAACTTGTTGATTTCTGACATGTCTTTTGCAACAATAAGCATGTCATCAACATATAAAAACAAGTATACAAAAGAACCATCTGAGAGCTTCCGGTAGTAGACACAACTGTCATAGCTACTTCTCAAGTAGCCATGTCCAACCATAAAAGTGTCGAACCTTTTGTACCACTGCCTTGGAGATTACTTCAACCCATACAAGGATTTCTTCAACAAACAAACGTGGTCTTCCTTTCCCTGAACAATGAACCCCTCTAGCTGATGCATATAAATTTCTTCTTCAAGCTCACCATGTAGAAAAGTTGTTTTGACATCAAGTTGCTCAAGCTCCAAGTCAAATTGAGTAACCATGGCAAGCAACACGCGGATAGAGGGGTGTTTCACAACTGGTGAGAAAACTTCATTGAAATCCACACCTTCTCTCTGACTATAACCCTTTGCCACCAAACGTGCTTTATACCTTGCATCTTCAACACCTGGAGTTCCTTCTTTTTTCTTGAAGACCCATTTGCAACCAACAATCTTCTGGCCTTTAGGAGGTTCAACAACTCCCATGTCTGATTCTTATGAAGAGATTCATGTAGTATCTCCACCTGTTACTGTATTCCCTTAGAGAAGATACAAAATTTTCACCTTGGTGCCCTGTAGCACCACAAGAGAATCCATCACGACCATCATTGTTCCACCCTCTATTAGAACCTTGTAACCTTTGGAGTCTAGCACACCTACTGAAATAAGATTCATCTTCAGATTCGGTACATGTCGCACATCTGACAATGTTTTCACCAACCCATTGTGCGTCTTGATCTTGACTGTTCCAATTCCCAAAATTTTGAAAGCTTTTTTGTTCGCCGTCAAAATCGAACCACCTTTCATCTCTTTATAGGAAGAGAAAGAATCCCTACTGGGACACATATGAACAAAACAACCAGAATTAAGAATCCAACTGTCATTAAATGACACACCTGAACACAAGGTTGTCATGAGAACATATTTGTCACTTTCCGAATCACTCGTTGTAGCAGTTGCCACAGAAGTTGCTTCCTGAACCTTCTCTTTGCCATTCCCATTCTTTGTTTTTAGTTTGGGACAGTGTTTGATGATGTGTCCTATCTCGTGACAGTAGTAACATTCTACATTTTTATGAGATCTAGATTTGCCCCTACTACCAAAACTCTGTCTCACTTTTGCCTCTTACAAATAGACCCTCGGCCTGTTCATCTCCATTATTTCCAGACATCTTTTTCTCAACTCGTGAGAGTTCAGTGAGGATTTAACATCCTCCATACTAATGGGTTCTTTCCATGCCTTTCATACTCGGGGCTCTTTTGAGAAGAGTTTGAATGCCACATTTATTACTCTCATTCTGAAAAACCTGGTATCAGAGCTCAACTGTTATTTATTGTGACAGTCAGAGTGCGATATATTTGATCAAAAATCAAATGTATCACGAGAGAACCAAACACATTGATGTCAGATATCATTTTATTCGGGATGTCATATCAGAAGGAATTACTACTTTGAAGAAAATTGGCACAGCTGCAAATCCGGTAGATATGATGACAAAGTCCGTTCCAACTCTCAAGTTCAAGCATTGCTTGGACTTGGTTGGTATTCTCAAATGTTAAAATTGCCCTTAGGGGCTTAGTGAAGAAGACAGTTTGTTTTGCAGAGACACAGTGGCTCATTTGAATTTTCGCCAAGGTGGAGATTTGTTGACTTTTGTGACTCAATTCTGATGTCAGCCATTACATCATTAATTTGCATCACCCATTACTTTATTATTCTTGGCAGCCAAGGAGTGTATTCTGCAAGCTTCTCCATGCGTGGTCTCCAAGTTCACAAACAGTGTGATGACATTTTGGCTATAAATAGCCTTGCTCCCATGGTGTTTTAAGCATCCAAAACAAAATTTGAGAGTGTTTACTAAATATCAGTTTCTCAGAGGTGTAAGAGAGTTTGGGGTGTAATTGGGTTTTGAGTGTGAGCCACTTACCATTGTATCTCTTTATTTTCATAATGAAATATTGTTCTGTCTTCTCCCTGTGTACGTAGGCATAGCCGAACCACGTATATCCTTGTCTCATTTGTGTGTGTGCCATTTTATCGACCTCATCCTTGTCTTCATTGGACATAATTTCAGTCTTTGGCGCATTAAGATGCAGTCCCTGCTAACTCAGCAAGGTCCAAAGAAGGTATTATTCGGGAAGGACAAGTTGCCAGAAATGTGAGCCACTTAGCACTGTATTTCTTTATTTCCATAATAAAATATTGTTCTGTCTTCTCCCCGTGGACGTAGGCATAGCCGAACCATGTATATCCTTGTCTCGTTTGTGTGTATGCCATTTTATTTTTCTTGTCATTATTTTCTCTTGTTCTCAGAAATTCCTACTCGATCCTTATTCCGTAACAGAACCCTACTAGCTTGTAACTTACTACACTTCCATCATATGGTCCAAGAGAATTAGGGACATACACATATTAGAAGCCAAATCACAGCTTAGTAGGTTGCCCAAACTGCCCTAAAAAATGAACAAACTCCGTAATGAAGTTCAAGCTTGGCTTAGTCTATTCCACAAGCCATCTTGAATAAGTATCTATCTATTCTAGTTGATTTTAATTGAATCTCAAGTAGATTGACTTTTCACATGGTGTTAAGATGCTCATTAGCTTACTCGTGAAGCATGCATTGTAGTATATGTCACGAGCTGATTGTGAGTAAACACTTAAATTGGCTAATCATGAACCAAGATGGTGTAGCTAGTTTAAGCAATAATCATGGACCTTATAGCTTTTGTTTTGTTGGTTTATTAAAAGATTGCTGAACCTATTCAATAGCTATTATATGTTTCCTATGACCACTTAGGAATTACAAAATCGATACAGGGCATCATCAAAATACATAGTAACAATTAATCATAATAAGCAAAGCACCTAAAACCTTTAATCAAACAAATTGATGTCGTAATTTAGTATTGAAGAGTAGAGCTTACGCGAGAATCCATTTGCCGTTGAGGAGGGTCAACGCCTCGGTCGGCGCCGGAGTCGGATTCTTGGCCTCCAGCTGAGTAATCAGCTCGATGATCTCCGCCCTGGTCTCGCTCGTGGCTTTCAGTCCACGCTCCGTCCCGTAAAACGAATCTACCAATTGTTTCTTCAGCGTATCGATCTCCTTCAGCTCCTTGGGCGGCTCCTCCGCCACAGCCACGGAGGACCCCTCCCACTCAGCTCCGCTCACCGCACGGACTCTTAGAACCGGCCTTTCCCTAACGAATACTCCGATGGAAACCCTAGAACCCTCTCCCGCCTTTCCTGAAGTAAATCCAAACGTATTCACCGGAAATAAAGAGGGTTTTGAGCTGATTTGAGACTGCAGTGGATTCACTGAAATGGTGTTGCACAGAAACGGATTGAGCTGAGATACTCCAGCCATTTTTTCGATAGAGATTAGAGAGAAGAAGAAGAGAGTTACTACTTAGTTTGTTATGTGAACCGCCGACAATGAAAAGCTGGGGAAACAAATGAGTCAAATATAGAACAGCTATAGCTCAAACACGTGGTACGCATCGGAGAAACGCGGCTTGAAAACGAAGGCATGCGATTGAGGCAAGGAGGTTTTTTTTTGTCTCCTTTCGTAACATGTCAAAATATTGAGGGTATGCTATTCGTGTGTAACCAAACTCTAATGCCACTTTTGGTACTATGAATAGAATTGAATGAAATTTGGACGGTGTATTATCATTCTAAAGTTTGATGTGCATGACGAATCATTATGAAATAGAATAATTATTATCATTTTATTTTATTATGAAATAGAATGATTATTATCATTTTATATCTTTTTTCAAAAATACTTTTTTCAGGAAAGAAAATTAAAAAAATTATAACTAAATTGAATATTTAATCAAAGAAATTGATGTAAAGGCTAAAAAATAATATATATATATATATATATATATATAGATATATATATATTTAATGATATATCAATCTTAATAATATATAAAAAAAATCGTGCACCATAATATCAACTCAAATAAAGTTAAAGAAATAAATAAATCATCAACTCAACGAAAAACCTAATAATATTTTCAAGTACTTGTGTAATTTTTTTTTAATTTTTTTTATTGTAAATTTCTTAAAAATTCTAGTTTTGAAAAAATTCTAATTAAGTAAGGTTCTCCAATCATTCAACGATGAACTTGACTAAGGGTCCAAAAGTCAAACTAGCCCACTTTTGGTTTCAGATGATTACACAAATGTTTCAAACACAAATATACAAAAATAATATTAATAAAAAATAAAAATAAAAAAGTGATATACTCAGAAGATAAAAAAGATTTAATACTTACTTATCAAAAATAATAATAATAAAAAATAAAAATAAAAAAGTGATATACTCAGAAGATAAAAAAGATTTAATACCTACTTATCAAAAATAGATAAATAAATAAATTAATACTTATAATTTGGTTGAAAGTCATTCAGAAGAGAGAGAAGATGAAAGACATTTACCATGTCTAATAAAGAAGTCGATAAACATAAAAAATGGAATCTGAAAGATTTTTGGTGAATACAAAATATTTTTGTCTTGTTGGAATGTGATTAAGTGCTTATTGGGAATATTACAAAAATATTTTATCTTATTATGGAATGGAATGACATTCCATAAGTTTACTAATGGAATAGATTTTCATTACATTGGAATGGTCATTCCATTCCATTTCTACACACCAAATAACTGAATGATTAAAATGAGCATTCCATTCCATTCACGTAGCATAAAAGATTCTAAATATATTTGATGGGTGGGCGGTGGTGATTGGGTAATATTTTTATTTTTATTTATTTATTTATTTATTTTTGCCGGGTAAAGTTCAATAAATGTCTTATGATTTCATGGTTGGGTTCAATTAATTTGGTGTCACTACTACGGCTGGTGGTGACAGTAATGAAACGTAGAAGACTGGTACTGTGTACGTTCATGTGTGTGATTCATTTGGTTGGAATTTGGGAAAATCTTCTCCTTAATTACATACTCAATTTGCAATTATTCGTTTTGCTAAATGCATTGTTGAAAAATCTGTTATGGGCGTGACTTTTTATTTTATCTTATTTACTTATTATTATTAGGCAGTTAATATTGATGCTACATTATAATCCCTGGCGCTCCACGCTTTTTCTCTCCGAAATTACTATGTAACTCTCACATCACAGTAGGTATGTTTTTTTATAATTGTGTTTTTTTATAATTGTCCTTTTTTTTTAGGCTCCGTTTGGTTAGATGAAATAAGTTAAAAATAAAAAATAAAAAGTGAAGTGAATAAAAATAAAAGAAATTTTCTAGCATGCATTTGGTTAGTATGAAAATTTATCTAAAATATTAGTTTGTTAGTTTAGATATCATGTTAAAGAAAGTGATTATGCATACCAAAACTATCAAGTAAAATGATGGATTATTAAATTCAAATATATAATGGTTTATATTCATTTTTATTATTTATATTTAGAATAAGGCTTCATAATATTTCATCCAATTAGTATTAGTTTAAGATAAATAAATTAATAAAAAATAAAAAATTAGAGATGAAGAGGCAATACTACTGTTTGGGAGAAAAATAAAATATTTTACCATATATATATATATATATATATATATATATATTGGATTATGAGTGACTAGTCTTATATATTCTTCGCATGAAAGAATTTAATTATATAAGCTATATCCTAAGGTATGCCACCACACTAATGAATATTTTATATATTCATGAAAGAATTTAATTATATTTTTCTTTTTGGGAACTAATCTTTAATTGTCTAATTTTTTACTATATTGAATTCTTTTATAGTTTTTATAAGTCTTCATGCGCGCACGCGCGTGTGTGTGGTTCAAAGTTAACGAAAAGATCTTATTTTTTTAAGAGTTAGAGGGGCATTTTGGACCTGAACAATATTTATTGATGTATATGCAAATATATTACTTAATTCAACCAAAGTGTGAATTGAACTTTTAAAATAGACGAGTTTGTCATTTAATACTCCTAACTCTATGTATGTGTAATTTTTCCTAAATTAAGAATAAAAACAAACGTTCCATGTAGGGCAGAGTGTGCCCATGCCCTTCTAGCATAAAATATGGTTATTTTATTTTTCATTTTTTATTTTTTTTACATTTATAAGAAAATTTCTTTACAATGACAGCCTAAAATTTTTTATTTCTAAAATTATATCCTAAATTTTTCTTTCTTTTCTCTTATGCTCTTAAAATTCCCTTGATTTCCTCATCTTTTTTTAATTAAGTTAATTTTTTTTTTCTTCAATCAAAGTCTAATTGTTTCCTTTCAAATTTCTCATTTGTCTTTCCCTTTTCTTTTTTTTTTTTTTTAACTTAAAATTCTTCTTTTTTCACTTACGAATGATATATGTAGTATGCAATTTTTTTTCCCTTCTATTTATTCTAATTTAGCACTCTAATTTGTGAAGTTAATGGGTCTAATTTTCATGCATCGCTTTCAAAATAAAAGATCTACAACTATACTCAATGAATATATTAATTATTAAACAATATTTTAGTTCCTTTTTTTTTTTTTTGGGGAAGCAATATTTTAGTTCTTATATTGATCAAATACTTAATATTTCTTATACTATTGATTGATTTAGCATATTTGCAATGATTTTTTTTTCTCCTTCTTTTGAACAATTTAAATTAATCATTTGAATTTTTTTTTTTTTAATATCGCGTCCCCCTTAATTGAAATCCTAACTACACTTTGAGTCACACAATCCTTTTCAAGAGATGTTGCTCTTAAGTTCTGAATGAGCACGCTTTCGCTCAAATTTTCACTTTCGCTCTCACGCTCTCGCTTTATTTGACTTTAAGCTATACCCCAATTCATATATATTGCTTTTTATCGGTTGAGATAAAATTAAATTTAATGATGTTTTTGTTTTTCTCAACTCACCTTTGCTGCTATAGTGGCTTATGAAATTTATTATCGAAAGCACACAGAATTTCTCTATTAATATGCGGGTAGTAATATTAGAGAATCAAACTATCAGCATTCCTTATGTGATAGGTTTGTAAAAGAGTCCTAACTCCTAAGAAGAAGATAGAAAGTCTATGAAATAAAAACGTGAATCAATTGAAAAAAAAAAGTTAAAAAGTAATAGAGAAGGACAATTATAATATTAAAATGTTAATAACCAAATTTGTGTGGTGTAAGAGTTAATTTGTATTATAATGCTAATAACCAAACTTATCTTTAAGCGTTGCTGAATAAATCAAAAATCATTATTAATGTGTGTGTGTGTGTGTAATGTGTTACACTGCAAATGAGGGCCATTGGACTGAGTAAACGGTCCAGTACACACTAGTGTTCTAAAAATTTGTTCCATCTTGGACCTGTCCTTGCTGAGTTAGAACTGGGTTATGCACTTTTAATTAGGTATACGTACTTGGGTCTAACTAGAATTTGAATTGAAACACGGCCCAGTTATTCTTGAAATTGCATAGTTAAAATCCAATTGAGTCTCTAACTTAATAGACACGACCATAGGCCCAATAGCTAGATCCAGCTCGCTTGGGATAATATGCTCAAATTGGGCTTCGATGAAGTGAGAGTTGTAGTGAAGTCGAAAAAAATTAGGGCTAAATCTCTTTTAGTAGAAAATAGGTAAATCTATCTTCAACACATTGTACTATTTCTTCTTTTCTTTAACAAATCCAAGAAGAATTATGAACTTGTCTATTTTCATGTTCCTAAGGGCAATTATTGGGTTTCCTAAAGCATTATTGAAATCCAATTGAGGCCCGGTCCAATTAGTCCCAATAGCTTGATCCAACTCGTTTGGGATAATTGGGAGGGCATCATATAAGCTCAAATTGGGCTTTGACGAAGTAAAGCTTTTGTTGTAATAAATATGAACAAAATTAGAGTTGGGAGATTAGTCACAAAAAAAAATAAGAGCGAGAAGTCTAAATCATACAAAGTGAGCGAGAAGTCTAAATCATACAAAGTGAGTGGAAGCCACTTGTTTCGGAAGAATTATAACGAGAATCATGGATAAGCATTGGGGTTTGTAAGGAGTGATTGCGTAGAAATAATAATCATAGTGATATTTATATCAGTATAAAGCATATGGTTCTGGGCAATAAAGTTTGAAATGGACATTTTTCTTTTTAGGTACCTTTTTTAAAAGACAAAGCCATTCAAATGTAACCTTTTACAAGTCCACTCCTTTTTTTTTCCTAACATTTGTGAAAGAATGTAATACCCATCACATTTCTTTTCTATATGCTCTGATGTTGATATACTGAAATTCCAGGAAAAATGGGCATATTTGTACTTTTTATGTTATGTTATTATCATCAGTGTGTCATTTTTCCCTTCTTTTTTTTTTTTTTCCCAAGGGTGTATACGTAAAATGAAGTTAAATTAGGCTAAATTCATTTTTAAACCATTTATCAAGCAATGCATTGTAGTTGCTAATTTGCACTTGAATTTATTTATTTATTTTTAATTCCCAAGTGTGACAAGATAAATTTATCCATGTTAGCCGTTACTGATTGACCCGGATCATTTATGTAATAATTTCTTTGGGTAACATATAAATTGAAATTCTCTCTAATTTGAGATGCACTTTATAAAAAAACTAAGTTGGGATGTCATGCATCACAAACCAACCGAACCGAACATGATTTACTGTTAAAAAAAAAGAAATTTTCTTCCTGTAACACACCTACACACGTATGGTCTGAATTTCTTCTCTCCATTGACTCACAATTTCTGGCTAATACTGTTTTGGAACTATTATTGATAATTGACAGCATCAGCAGTGTATGTAGACAAAATACAAGCACGCCAAGGAGCACCATTTTCGAAGGTTATCAAGAATCCATGGACGCCGTTAATTTTGGGGCTTCCTTTTTTTCCTTTAATAGAAAGTGACTGTGTCCCCACTTTTATTTTTAACCACTCCAACCAATTTAGTGAAACACCGCAAAAATAATAGTATCTCTCTTTTTGTTGCTGCCGAGATTATTGGCACGTTTTCATCACGCATTTCCATCTCTCAAAAGCCCACTAATTGTCAAAAGTCGTACAAATTTATTGCTTCAACAACTATTTTGAATTTTTCTTTTTTTAAAATAAATATAAAAAATTGTTCACCCAGCCGGGAACAGTTTGCCACCTACCAAGTTCAAATTTAAGTCACCTTTTAAAACATAAATTTTAGTATATAAAATGTGTTCGTAACGGCGGATCCAGAAATATATTTATGCAAGTATTCCTAAATCAAGAAGAAGTTGGGTTTTTCTAGACCCAACATGCCATAATTGAGTCCCATTGCATGGTGTAAGTTCTTTTTTTGAAAAAAAAAATCAGTTAATATATTGAATGGCATATAATTTTACAAAATGAGACTTAATTCATCATGTGGTTGTTGTTTGACAATCATGATTCGTGAAATTCAAGTTCGGATGATGTAGAAGTAAGCCAGACTTTGGCCAAATTTGACAATTTTGTTCCATACATACGATCACTACTAATAAATGGCATCTGTCGAGATTTGCGCAAGTAGATAGTAGATACACTGTGGCATCCATATATGATATATATATCTATATCCTTGTCATCTTTTGACTAACAAAGCAAGGCATGTACACTGTGTACCAACTCCGAGTTTTCGATGATTTGGTCTTTTTTTGGAATTTCAAGCAATTACTTGATTGGTTTATATATCAATATATCATGTATGTTAGTGCTTCTACGGAAGATAAGTCACTAGTGTAGAGGGACCAAGGCCCTCAATTATTTGAAAATTGGATATATACAAGTAAATAAATATATATATATATATATATATAATGAAAGAAGCCAGAAAGAGAGGATTCATAGAATCTGAACCAACATAGCAACATGTGTTGTGTTCTTGTAGAATGGGTGCTGCAGTCCATTATCACTGAACCAATGGCATTGATGAGGGTCTGTGTTTTATGTGAACCATGATTCTCTCCCGTGTGCAACGATTTTAAATTACGAATTACTAAATGTATTAAAATTTTAATTTAATAATGTAATATGTTAAACCTAAATGACTGCTGAGGAGTATATTACGATGGTTTAAGTTGATTTTCAATAAAAGGTGACCCACTATCTCAACAACTAATGAATGCCAATAAATTAAAATCAAACCTTTCACCTATAACTTGTACTGTAAAAATGTACCAACTTATTAACGAGTCAAAATGAGGTAAAAGCGACTTAACATTAGAATATCAGTACCTGCTTGCTGTTTTTTCTAGATTCTTCATCAATTGTTGTCATAATAACATTCAGCTAGAGAGAGCCAGGTTTAGGAAAACAGAGAATCTGTACTCTACCGTTAACATTTTTTTACCAACAACAAAAAGTGAAAAAAAAAAACAAAAGAGTTTGGATCTAGCCTCTAGGGTCCACATCTTGTCAAACTCAGAGGCCCATAGATTTTTCTTGGTTGGTATAAGGTACCCATTGTTTAGTGACAGTAAAAAAGCACATTAACCACAAAATCAGCAGTAACTCACATGTTTTTATCCATAGGAATATTAGTACTCATTCCACTTCAATGTGCATATATATAGAAAACACAGAGTGTTGGTAAAAGTATTCCACTTCAGTGTGCATATATAGAAAACACAAAGAGTGTTGGTAAAAGTACAATTTCTGTGATTTACTATGAACTTTTCCTGTGTGTGTGTGTGTGTGTAAACTGTATAATTGTATATATAGAGAGCAATTTTTTTAATCAATTGAAACTTAACTAGACAATATCACAGACTTGGATCAAAATATCATATTACGTACCTGCACTAGTTCAGCACAAATGCCTATCAACCTGATCATCAATGTATAATCAATACAATTAAACTGAGAGCTCAAAACATACATACTCAATTGCATAAATACACTTAACATGATTGAGACATGACAAGGTTTATGAGTTCTTTGAAATTACTGATTCTTGAGATCTCTCTCTCTCTTTTTGTGGTTAATTTCTTCATTTATTTCATATGCTTACTGTATTATATCAAGCGCATTTACAGCAGCAAATTTTCTAGGCCCCACAGAGATCAAGACGCACTTATTCACCCTCTTTCTTTTTGATTTACTTCTTGGTGATGATGATCTTTTGCGACTTATCCGCTTACTTTAGTTTTCATGGGTGTCACTAAAGTGATGGTTACCTATTGCCATAAATATGGTAAACCAAACACCGAAAGATGACCTATGATGGTTGTATCCCAGGCATGCAATAGATCTCCTTTTTACCATTTCCTTTTTACTCATTTGTGGAGGAAGAGAGATGAAGATTGATTATGATGAATAAGATCTCTGTATTTTAATGACAAGAACATTTGTAGTGTTTGAAAATGATATAATGAATAAAAAGACACTTTATCATTTCATTTAAGAGAAATAATAATAATAATAATAATAGAGGATGACGACTTACCAGAAAAAGAGAGGAAGAAGCACCAGCTAGATACATTGTTGGAGCATGATTTATGGGGTCCCTAATGGCTGCACTACAACAAAAGAAATCATTACTTACCTTCTGTCTATAAGCATGGAATCCACGACTTATTGTTATTAATACATCCATCTTATTCGATCTCCATGATGGATTATATATATATGTTTTTAACATGCAATCTTGATCTCTCATTATGCTTTACATTCTCTATTTAGCTTCAATATGTAATATTCCTTAAAGAGTAGTAATAAAAAATAAAGAAAATAAAATAACAACATTAATTAATGATAAAGTAAGATTCATCCATGCAATCCAATCAAATAGCCCCTTCTTTATTAGAGAGCTTCATGCTTTCCCCCTCAGAAACATATGCAAGATCACCCAACCACATTACCTTAAACAATTCTATATTACAATTCAAGGTGATTTTACAAAGTTGACTTGGCATGTGGAAGTTTTGAATGGATATGAAATCATCTCATTTTGTTTTGCCTAAACTAACATACATTTTTTTGTCACATTTCCCAAGGATTAAGATATCATTATTTAATTTTTAAGAGATGAAAATTACAAGGCATTTGTTGTATTATCACATTTCAAAAGATTAAGATCGATCACTATTGAATTTTTTTTAATAGATTTCATCCACTAGGTAGCATATAGTTTAAATTATAGCTTTTTGACTCCTTCATTGGATTTGGCCGACATCTAAAATTATATATGTATATATATATATATATATCCAATGTTTAAATAAATGATTTGATTTTATGTAGGCGCATCTAACATTCCATAATATGAAAGTAATATAAGCATGTCAATGTCTAGAGAAAGCTCTATAAAAATATCTATATCTAGGCAAGTCAAGGACAACTTCATAGTTCATATGGAGCCAAATCCTCTGCTACTCTAATAGCAGTGACGGCCAGATCATTCATACTTGTGGAATCACCACACGTGTGAATTATCCTAGTCATTTATTGCATTACAATATGCTTATTGTATTGTAAAGAATTCGGACTCGGTTCGCATGTGCTAACTTTAAGCATCAAAACAAGTGCTAAAAATGGCTCGTTCATGGTAAAAAAGTAGCAGCCATCCACTGATAGATTACTCAAGAACCTAAAAAATCAAGATAAAAAGAACCATTAAACTAGGTCCCACACCACCAGGCACCAAAGAGTATGACCAGCTAGCCACAGACAATGATCTTAAACTCAGCCAAAGATGGTAGGGGTCCATCAGGATGTGATCACATACATACTCCACGAGTCATGTTTATTTATCTATACATCCTTAGATTTGGAAATCTAACTATTATTAATTTTAATTGAACCCTCACCATCCTTTTATCTTTTTCCTCCACTCCCATTCCCTATAGGCCTATAAATTGCAGTCCAACACATCCCACAGTTCTCACACAGATACATATAGCAAGAGAAATAGCTGAAGAGAGCGTGAGAGAAATGGAGACTTTCCCGGTCATTAACATGGAGAACCTTAATGGTGAAGAGAGAGCATCAACAATGGAGGTGATAAAAGATGCTTGTGAGAACTGGGGCTTTTTTGAGGTATAGTACTACATATGAAGTTAATTGTGTGTTTAATTGAAGCTAGCATTAATGATATGATTTGCTTTACTTATGATCAGTGCCATTAATATTTCTTGTGTGGTGATTAATTTTCAAGTTGGTGAATCATGGGATATCACATGAGCTTATGGACACAGTGGAGAGGCTGACAAAGGAGCATTACAAGAAGTTTATGGAGCAAAGGTTCAAAGAAATGGTGGCAAGTAAAGGTCTCGAAGCAGTTCAGTCTGAAATCGATGACATTGATTGGGAAAGCACCTTCTACTTGCGCCATCTTCCCGATTCAAACATCTCCGAAATCCCTGATCTTGAAGAAGATTACAGGTCTAAATCACAAGTTAATTTGCTTTCTATTTTTGGGGTTGACAACCATGTAAATTGTGTTTTGTCATTTCATACTGACCAATAATTCTGGAGTAGTTTATTAGTAGTGGTTGTCTTAACTATATTCTAGGAGTACTATTTTATATATATATCATTTTGAATGTTTCTACTTATACAGTTCTTTTGCTAATTAACAGGAAGGCAATGAAGGAATTTGCGAGTGAACTTGAAAAATTAGCTGAACAGATTCTGGACTTGTTTTGTGAGAATTTAGGGCTAGAGAAAGGATACCTGAAGAAGGCCTTCTATGGTTCCAAGGGGCCTACCTTCGGCACTAAGGTCAGCAACTATCCCCCGTGTCCCCAGCCAGAGCTGATCAAAGGCCTCCGAGCCCATACTGATGCTGGGGGCCTTATCCTACTCTTCCAAGATGATCAGGTCAGTGGACTCCAGCTCCTCAAGGATGGCCAATGGATTGATGTCCCACCAATGCAACACTCAATTGTAATCAACTTAGGTGACCAACTTGAGGTATAACCCAATAATTCACCTACCAGTTTTAGTCATTATCTGTAATGCACAACTGATCAAATATCATTCTAATACATGAATTAATTTTTTAAAATCAATATGTAAATATATATAGGTAATCACCAATGGCAAATACAAGAGCGTGATCCACCGTGTGCTTGCTCAGACGGATGGAAATAGAATGTCAATAGCCTCATTCTACAATCCAGGCAGTGATGCTGTCATCTATCCAGCACCGGCACTAGTGGAGAAAGAAGAGCAAAAACAAGTGTATCCTAAATTTGTGTTCGAGGACTACATGAAGCTTTACTCTGCACTGAAGTTTCAGGCCAAAGAGCCTCGATTTGAAGCCATGAAGGCAGTGGAAAGTACCGTTAATTTGGGTCCGATTGCATCCGTCTGATTTCATTGTTAACAGTATGGTGTTTCTGTGTTTCTACATATTGCTTAGAATACTGTCCTGAGTTGTGGTGTAGTGTTACTTTTTAGTGTCTTGAGGTGTGGATTAGGTGTGCTTGGCTAGTATGTGATGTTTAAATAAGCTCAAACCTTGGCTTTGGTGTTCATGTTAAGGTTTTGTGGTGTTTGTAAGGTGTTCCTAGTGTACAAAGTGACCAAAACTTATCTTTGATAAATCATGTCTTAGTGGAGGTATCTCCTCTTTATCTTTCTTGTTCCACTTTGTATTAGATTTACCTCAAAAATGAATATTTAAATTAATACTTAGAAGTCCAGATCTGATTGTCTACAAAAGAGGGTTCCCTTCTGAGTTTAATTTTATGTGTCTATGATGAATTGGTTTTAAATACATCTGTTTTTTATTTTTCTTTTTATTTTTATTTTTATTTTTGCAGCCTTGATTCTTTAAATGTTAAGTTCTGCTCCAATATAGAGGGTATAGTATACTTCTCCATATTTCCTCAACTATTTATAATCAACCTCTAAGTGGGCTAATCTACTCATGCTGTCATGCATTATACTTTTTAACTTTAGCACCTACAAAATACAACCAGTCTGTCCTTTACAGATCAATCTATGTATCCGAAAAGACAGTTAAGGAATATTAAGCCCATAAAATTGGAGGCACTTGAAGAAGGCAACACTTTAACTTCCCCATAATACACCTTGATTGTGGACCTAATTGTCTATTGGTAGTTTGGTAGTCAATGATTGGGAGATTATATAAGGATATTATAAACCATGGCACTATTCTTGAATCATCCACCTTTTTAACCTCTTGTTACAGTCCCTGGTTGTTGCCATGTAATTGGAAAGATAATATTACCATTCCTCACCATTACCCCCATTTGGAGGGGGCTCAAACCCCACTTTCTTTCTTGTCATGAGAAAACAAATTTACATATTAAAAGCCTAAAGAGATAATCCTTGTTCCAATTAAAAAGCTCAATCATGAAAACTTGAAATCACTTGACATCTTAACTCTATCATAAATATTGAATCCAAAATATCATCATCATCGCTATCGCTTTTCTCACAATATTCAAGCTTTAGGCAAATACACACAATATTGATGTAATTTTTGAGAGCATTGAATTGGTGTTTTGAATTTGGGATTGTAGAAAATTTAGTTCAAAATTTTCTCCAATTTCAAATTCAATGTGTCAATTTGGTGCTGCCAAACATAATATCGAAGTAAATGGAAGTGTAATTAGTTCGCATTGAGAGAAATAATGAGACCATTATGTAGTGATGTTGAGGACTACATGCAGTGCTGGGAGTGAAAGACAGTCTAAAATTTGACCAGATTTAATGTTGGCAATTTCATACAAAAGTCTACGAATTCTCAACATATAAATTTATAATGTATCATTTCCTATAAAGCTTTCATAAACGAAAATATTAATGGCCACAATCAGGAAAAATAAAATAATAAAATGTCAATGGCTATTACTTGTATGACAACAGAAAAAACTAACCTCCATAAGATCTCAATGTCTAGCCTGCAATTTTCCTGCCAGAGAAGTTTATCGCTAATTTTGTAATATATTTCTGAATAAAACTGATGATGTGTTGTATCCTCAATGCAATAATGCGCAAGGGAAATGAATTTTGGAGAAAAATAAAATAAAATTGCGTAGTAAAGATAAAAAGATTTTTTTTAAAAGAAAAAATTAAAAATGGTATTCTAATAAAGGGTATTGTAGTAATTTCATCAACAAAGGGTTCCTAGGGTTGTGTTATATGAGGTTAGCCTATAAATAAAGACCTAAGTTGGAGGCAAATCGATCTGCTCGCTCTAGGGTTCTTAAGCCGCAGCCAAGTGTTGAGGTAACAAATAGTAGGAGTAATCCAACAAAAGTCTCGTTTTTATTTTATTTTTACTTATGTAATATTTGATTCACTTTCTATGGTTTTTGTTTGATTTGTAAAATTCGTCCTCTGTTCATAATTCAGAAAATGAGAGACGAATTTATATTGAATCTCTTCATTGATAAGAACAGGAGGCATAGTAATAATGGCGAGATATCGTTTCAGTCGTCATATAATCAGATTGACGATTCGATTGTTGCTCGTCTACATTTTCTTACACTTTCGTTATCTTTCTTTTCTTTTTCTTTTTTTTTTTTCCTTTCTTCTTTCTTGGTCTTTCTATTTTTTAGAATTGAAATTGTGAAAAATCGATGAGAGATAGTGCAGATGATGATTCAAATTATTTCTTCACTTTGAACCTATAGGAGAGAAAATATCTTTCCTTGAGGATTCTGTGTATATGCTGATGCACTTTGAATCATTATTTCAATTTCTAGGGTTTCTCATTCCTTATTTCACCTACTTATGTTTATTTCCTAATTAAGGAAAAGAAACAACATTAGACCTTCTCTTATTTTAAAGAATCGCTTTTCAGGTAAATGAAAATAGTTTCATTAAATTTCTATGGGAAGTAAATTTTAGATAATTAAATAATAAGTTCTTTCTTAAATTCAAAGGTCAATTTGTGAATCTATTAGGAAGCAAGAACTTGGAAATAGAGAACATCTTATCAATTCGTATGAGAAATTATTCATTTACAATTTACTCTAATGTGCTTTTAATGGACTATTATATTTTAATCTTATACTCTGGTTTTTTCAAAAATCTGAAATCATTTACTAAAAAATAAACAAGGTAAAAAAATGGATGTCTATATTTAGAAATTAGAGTTTTTAAGAAAGCATGGCCATTTTTTAAATTATTAAATTATTCTTTTTAATTTAAATATATATAATTACAAAGTTTGAAAATTTTAAAAAAATTAAAGTTAATGATGAAAATATAAATAAAAATAGTTTCATTAAATTTCTATGGGAAGTAAATTTTAGATAATTAAATAATAATTTCTTTCTTAAATTCAAAGGTCAATTTGTCAATTTATTAGGAAGTAAGAACTTGGAAATAGAGAACATCTTATCAATTCGTATGAGAAATTATTCATTTACAATTTACTCTAATGTGTTTATAATGGAGTATTATTTTTTAATCTTATTTTCTGGTTTTTTCAAAAATCTGAAATCCTTTTCTAAAAAATAAAAAAGGTACAAGAAATCGATGTCCATACTCAAAAATTAGAGTTTTTAAGAGAGCATGCATTGCATTGTCTTTTTTTAAAATTATTTGCATTGTCTCCTTTTAAAATTATAAAATTATTCTTTTTAATTTAAATATAAACAGTTATAAAGTTTGAAAATTTTAAAAAAATTAAAGTTAATGAAGAAAATATAAATAAAACATGGACAATTAATTTAGGACATATTAAAAAAGAAAAATGATACCCCTATTTAAATTTTTTCAAATTACCTAATCGTCAGTCAAACCAAATCAGTTTTGTATTAATATATAAAAATTACAAAATTGTTAACACAAGACAATGAAACTCATAATTTAATGACATTGAGTTACCAAAGATGCAAAAAATTGCATAAAAACGGCTTTGTCTACCTGAATCTAACAAATGGGAAAAGAAAAGAGTAAAGCTGGACTTATAAAAACAAAAAATTAAGTTGGTATGTCAAATAATTCTATAAACCTTTATTTTTTATTTATTTGTTTATGTTTATAAACAATTTTTAATGCTAAACCTAAAAGTCACCATCAAATTAGTTTCACACTAAATAAGCACAAGTCTTCTTATAATGTTTTTAAAATGTTAAAAGACCTCCTCCAGTCTTTTTATAATATTTTTATAATGTTAAAAGACAGAAAGTGAAAACAAAGGGTGAGATGGAGATTATAGACTGGCTTTCAAAAAGAAACGCTGGGATGAAGATTATAGACGGGCTTTCAAAAAAAAGTCATCGGCAGCAAGTGCAAGCACTTTAATTGTTCCTTGACTGTTTGCGGATAACATTATGGGGCTATCACTTTTCCAACACACAGCACTAATGAAGTAAGTTCCTGCTGCATCTTCATCACCAACATCCGTATCTGAAGAACTGAATCTATGCCTAGCTGCTGGCTTCGAGATAGCCTGCAAGTGAACCCCAAAATTTAATTAGACGCTGAAATAACAACTTACAAATTTAGATGCCTAAAATAACAGCCCTGTGAAATATAGTGAGTGACCTTGTGGTAGACGAATACTTCATTTGTTTCGCTGCCACAAGCAATGTATTCACTGTTCACCGTGAGACCCACAAAATACTTCACATTGGCGTGGCCTCCAAATGTGCGGAGCTGAAAAAAAACAAGAAAAAAAAAAAAAAGGACCAAGTAAAATTTTTAAGTTTAGAAAGCCACTATAGGATTCAAAAATTTAGAAAAACAAAAGTCGTACACAAAGCCAGTCCAAGTTGATGCTAATTGCCAAGGCATTTTCATAATCAAATCGATGTTACAATTAATAATTGAGATCTTCAAAGTGAATGCTCTGTAAGTCAGACTGATTTGCCTTTCATAGCTACATATGCATTCTAGTGCAAATGATCTTGCACTCCACTTCAGATAATTGTTCTCATTCCCGCACCCACTCAATGCCAGAGTATTCTTCCCGCAAAAGCTTTTGGAAATGAGAAGGAAACTCCAGTAAATTGTACACAGTTTAATGGTTGTTATTTCTAGTTTCACCATTCTCAAATTTAGTAATCCTAAAGGCTTTAAAAGACATAATTGGTCAAGTACAGCAAAATCATGATATGTCACACTACCTTACTTGTAAACATGATATGTCATACTACAGATGAAAAAGACATTCAGATGTAAACAATAGAACTGCACCTCAAAAACCGAATCATCATAAGCATTGCAACTTACTGGCAAATTTTCTTTAACATCCCACAAGCGCAATGTGCTGTCAGTAGATGCAGAAGCAAACTCATTGTTGGACAGAAATTTTACATATGAAACAGTTTTCCTATGCCCACCGAAAATATGCAGGGGTTGGCTTGTGTTTCTCAGGTCATAATAATGAATGTGATGATCTGCGGAACCCACCTGCAAAACACATATCATATCTTTTTAATGGTCTTATCTGGCTAGATTATAGATCACGTGCCACTGCTCGGAGAGTGCGAGAATCGAAAAGGACATACCGCCACATAAATGCTAGACCCGGGATTATACTTGACAGAACATACATTTGCTTTCATGTCAATATTAAGAACACTTGCCTCCTGATTTGTGCACCAAACTTTGACCTGATGGATATGGCGCAAAAACATACAGAAATTAGTCTAAAATAAGTCCTAGTTTCCATGAGTTACTGAAAAGAGGCCCGCCAATGGAAAAAAAGAAGAAGATTTAATGGAAGGCTTAGACATCACAAAACTTTCAGTGCTTTGACAATGAACCTAAAATTATCACACAGGAACCAAACATATCATATCAACCATTAATGTTCTTTTAAAAGTTTCTCCCGCAGGCCCCCATTTTCTGACTCCCTCAAACCACCCAAGGAGCTGCAAGAGAAAAAGACCTGTTTGGACTCATCAACCTGTTCTGAATTAAGACCTAAGGAGCTGCATGAGAAAAAAGCTACACCAGTTGATTCTTTTTTACATGATTACTATGCTGTATAATACAGTTAAAATATACTGCAATAAGAAATAATAGTTAAAATATACTGTCATTTAACAGAATAAAGTTTTCCAGTGTTCCTAAATACCTTACAGTCATCACTGCCAGACACAAGCATTGAAGGTTCGGCGCGCGAAAAATCCGCTCCATGCTCGTTTTTCATGCTCTTTATACTCCATCACACTCTGAAAAGAAAAACTTGGTTAGCATAGGTCAAGAGAGTACGTGGACGTGCGTGGTTGTGTAAGCCCCACTAAGATTAGGGTATATTACCCTAACCTCCCTTTGAGCTTTGGCCTTTACATCCACAGATTAAACTTTTGCAAAATTACTTTTGACACCTTGCATGAGTTAGAAACCCTAACAACCCTAAACGGCAAATGGGAATTGACAAAATTACCCTCATCTGAAGTGTTGATGCGATTGTAATAAGACAAATTACAAAACTAACCCTGTTAGGAAATAGTGTCATGTGTGGGCATGCTCCATGAGCAAAATTTGTGTCATGATCTATATGTTGAGTCACTTCAGTGGAAGGTTTGCATCACATTGAAGCTATGGTTGTAGATTGAAAACTCAGTCGATGCATCAACATCTTGCTTCAACCTTCATCAATCACACAATATAAAGAAGGTAAGTGGCCTAGGAGGCCATAGGATTCGCAGTGAATAAATTAGAAAAATTGAATTAATTGGAGTTAATTTAAAACTAATTAGTATTAAAATAATAGTAAATTTAATGTTGAATATTATTTCATTAGGAATGAATTTGGAAAGCTTAATGTTGGTGAGAGAACTTAGATTTTCAGTTTAAGTTGAAACTTGGAAGCCAATTTAAAAGTTACTTTAGGTAAGAATTTCATGTTGTGAAAACTGACTTTTGTGTCTTTAAAGATATATTAAGTATAAATACTTTGAATTTCATGCTAAGCCTTACATATTAAGATACTAGACTCGATAAGCTTTCCAACTATATATTATATGCCCAATTTCGAGTCCATTTGACCACTCAACAAAGTGCCTGAATTCAGGCTACGTACAGTAAAGTTCAGCAGAAAAGGTCGATGTTGATCAATCAAAGTTACTCCAGAGTGACTCGATCAATCGAGGAAAACCGAGTAGGTGTCAACCAATACATCTAGAGATCAAATGGACACCTCAACAAAGTGACCACTCAACAAATATATTATATGCCTAATTTCGAGTCCATTTGACCACTCAACAAAGTTCCTGAATTCAGGCTATGTACAGTCTAGTTCAGCAGAAAAGGTCGATGTTGATCAATCGAAGTTACTCTGGCGATTGAGGAAAACCGAGTAGGTGTCAACCGATACATCTAGCGATCAAATGGACACCCAAAGTTGGTTAAAAACGTGTTTCCAAGTCCGAAAAGGTTCCTAAACTTTTCAGAACTCATAAAACATTCCTAATGAATTTCTGATCACTAACACTGGAAAGGTGTTTTAGGGTTCTCTAAACATAAGTAACATAAAACTATAAAAGACACAACTACACCATTTTTTGACTCCTCTT